AGTGACGTTTTGCATCTGAGCGTCGAACCAGCAAGCGAGAAGTCGCTGGCTCAAAACAGTCAGCAGCAATTGACAATGTCTTTTGACCCGAGAAACGCTCGTTAATTTTTTATTAAAGCCCAAAAACCTATTTAGATGAGCGATAATTGTAAATCGGGAAAATCAAACTCTTGTCTTAATTATCTTTAGTCGATTGCAGTGCACTAAATTTTTGGCCAGTGTATTACTGTGAGACGCTCTGATCGCATTAAGCTGCAGCTTCGTGTTTGTGCTTCACTTGACTGTGGCAACGGAATGCTAAATTAGTGCCCGAAGGAGGCGTGGCGGCGTGCAGGGGAGGGGGCGGGTTGGCTGATTCAAAGGAGGGGGGGGGGGGAGGGGGGCGTGTTGAACGAGCTGGGTGGGACTAGTTGTGCTGGCCAAATCGTTCAAAATGGCAAAAACGTTGCTGCCACACACACACACACACACACACACACACACACACACACACACACACCCACACACACACACACACAGAAGCAGACGCGCAGCCAGCGCCCAAAGTTATGCAACATATAGAAATTTTTGCAGCTTAAACTGCAACAACAACAACATGAAATCGATTTATCTGTTCTATTGACGCGCCCCATGGCAGCACCCAAACTCACACACACACACACACACACACACACGCCCACACATGACCATTGTGTGGGCGGCAAGCTGACAGGCGCGTAGTGCCCCGACAAGGGGGCCCGGGGTAGAGGGCGATGCTTATGTACCGCGTCGTATTTGTATATAAAAAGAGACCGAATCTCTCAGTGCGATGGGTGGAGCCTACGGAATAGCCAAGAGCTGTGTGTGTTTGTGTTGATGTGTGTGTGTGAGTGAGTGTGTGTGTGTCGCATATGATTGCGGCTGTGTGTGCGTGTGTGGGCTGTGTCCAATCAGAAGCAAGTCTCAGCCACCCACACACACACACATCAACACAGCAGTTGCATATGTGTCGGAGTCGGAGTCGCAGCGGTGCCGCTGCTGTGGCTCGCACAGTGACAATGTCAAGCACGAAAAAAAAACAAACAAAAGAAAAGAGAAAAGAAAATAAATAAAATATACACAAAAAAGAAACGAAACGAACGAAACGAAACGAGAAAAAAGAAATGGCAAAGGAAAAAGACGGCAAAATAGTGGGTAACGTAACGGCAACCAGCACAGCCTGAAGATGGGGCAAATCGCTGAAGTGCCGAAGCTCAGTCAGCCAGAAATCAACAAAAGCCTCTCAAGAGGAAGACAACAAATATAAATAAAAAATACAAAAATAACAACAGCAACAACTACAAAATAGAACTGTAAAAGCGCTGAGCAGCGCAGCACAGAAAACACGCACACACACACACGCACACACACATGTGATAAACAGCAGCAGCAGCAGCGGCAGCAGCAGAGTGTGAGAGTGGGAGAGTGGGAGAGTGTGTGCGAGCGAGAGAGAGAGAGCGCGCGTGAGCTGCAGTGGGTAATGGAGCGAGTGTTGCCACATCTCATGCAGATACCATCACGGAGCACTATGCATTGCCACACTTGCACAAAAATAATGCACTAATTTATGTAGAGTTCGTTTTTTCTTAAGCTTGGACTCGGCTTTAAAATGAGAGCTTTTCAATATTTTATTTCAATAAAATAATATTGATATATAAACCAGCTTTGTATAAATAAACAATAGCTAACCAAACAGAGAAGCCCGAGCATCTGCGAATCTCCCAGCAAACGAAACAAATTCTCAGTTCGTCTCTGAGCTCAGCAGAACAGAAATTTGCTTCTGTATTTTTGGAAAAACAAAAGTCTAATAAAAATGTTGAATGTCCAAATTGCAGTTCAAGTTGTTAAGCATTTGTTGTCTAGTTTTAGCCTGTTTTGCTTTTGTCGTGTAGGTTGCCGTGCCTCTCATTAGATGCCTGCTCTTTAAAAACTCTCTCTCTTTCAGTTGAGTCGGTTCTGAGGATCCCGTCTATAGTTGTTATAAATACACATCACATTTGACCAGGTAAGTTGGCAGTTTGGCCTGAATCCTATCCAATATCCTAGCCTGATCTCTCTCTTTTTGGTTCTTTTTGGTCCATTTCCTTTTAAGCTCAAAATGTCAGACTAAAAGCTTGAAAACAGCAATCGCATCTTTACCTTGAAGGTGTCGCAGACACAAGCTAGTTGCTACGGACGCTTCGTTATAGTGCTTCGATCACAATATATTCATATATATGTATATATATATAGCTTACTTTTTAGAAAGTCTTAACAAATCCTAGCTAGAACTGGTTTCTTTAGCAGGCAGATGTATAACAACATATATAAGATATATTTCTGGGGGTTTTTCTTAAACAAGCCTTTTTTCGACTAATGGGAGCTATATATATATGTATACCTGCAAAGTAGAGCTAGACTTAAATCTCAGCTATAAGTTTCTTTTAAAACGATATATATATATATATATATATGTATATATACCTAATGGAACCATAGATATCTGCTTCAATTAGACATATTGTATTCAAATATTAATACCCCCTAAACAAGTAAGAATGGGTGTTTTTGGCACATAGCCAAATACCCTGTAAACGTGTGACTGAGAAGCGCTTTTATGAGCTTTATTTTCGTCTAATTTTTCTTACAGGAGCCACTTTTTAAAAAAATAGCGAAGCTGTTAACAGTCATGTTTAGTTCGGATATTAAAAAAAAAGACAAACGTTTGCACAGAAAAACCTCCTTTACAACCAATTCTTATTAAACTTATTGATATAGAAGTCCGGTGCGGAAAATAAGATTGGTTTAGTAATTGATAGAATCACAAAAGGTTGGACAGACCAGACATAATTTTCGACTGATTCCTCCTCCTATAAAGCCATATGTTTTGGATTGTACTAAGATCTACTAAGATCTAAGACTAAAAGCAAGGTCAGACTCGGAAATGCTTAGTTTGGTAAAGATATTTAAAAGACAAATCAAACTTTCAGACAAGTACACAATTTACGATCGATTTTTTATATGGCAGCTATATGATATAGTAGCACGATCCGACTAATTCTGGCTACAATGGAAAGACGAACCTTTGCAGAGTTTCTTGTTGAGTTCTCTCTACAACTGAGAGTCTAGTTAGAAACTGATCTGGCTATATAGACGCGACTTTTACTATTCAAGAATATGTATTTATATACATATATCTTATGGAGAGACGACCCTTTCTATGAGAAAAGTTCACATCAAAATTGGTGAATACATGCCTCAAAAAACACAATAACTGAGGCTAAGTATGTATTAAGAGGTTTTCTATTTGTTCTCACCTGGGCAAAACTTGGCAGTGCATGCCAAACTTTAACGCTTCGATCCGAAACATTGCATAAATGGACTCTAGCTCTTAAGCATATTAGAACAGAAAATTTCTGTGCGTAAAGTTGACTAAGTTGTCAAGTGTTTCGCTTGAAGAGAAAATCACGCATACACACACACACACACACACACACACACACACGCAGCGACAGGCGAAAGAAATGTGTGTTGCATATTTCAAGGAAATGAATTGCAACGTTTGCAACATTCAACGGAAGCTGCAGCGACAGACTTGCAAAAGAATCCATCTGCCAGCAGCCTCCACACACAATATGCCACACATCCCCCGTCCCCTTCCACCGCCCCCTTCCCCTTCTCCTCGCACAGTCAAGCCAAATACGCCCTTACGCATCACTACCAGCCGTTTAACACTAACTAAGCAGCTTATTTTGTGTTGTTGCTGGCGATTTTCTAATACACAAAAGAAAATGCGAACGGAATAACGAGAAAAAATAATGTGCCGCAGGGTTGCGGCAGCTGGGCGGGGGCAGGCGGGGCCAGGCGGGGGCAGGCGGTTGGGCAGGGCAAACGGCAAGTTAAGAAATCAAACAGCTGACATAAATAACATTTTAATTTAAATACGACAGGACAACGGCTACAACAACAACAACAACAACAATAATAATAACAAAAGCAGCAGCACATTTTTTTGCCGTTAAGGTAAGCAGAAGGTACAACAACAACAACACAACAATAACAACAACAAAATACATATTTAAAGAGCAGCTCAACAACAACAGCAATAACAAGAAGAAGAGGAAGAGGAAGAAGCAGCGAACACGCAGAGAAGCAAACAAAATTAAACAGCAACAATAAGCAGCAAAAATAGGAAGGAAAAAAATTAAATACACACAAACGGTCAAGCATGAGAGTCGCCTAAGCGCTACCCTGTAAGCGACTGCAAGCGCGAAGCTAAAAGGGTCTGCCAGGCGCTACCCTGTAAGAACAGCATGCACGGAACAAAACCGATCGCCCAGAGTTACCCTGTAAAGACACAAATGTTAAAGCACGAGAGTCGCCTAAGCGCTACCCTGTAAAAGAATTAACAAGTATTATAAATGGATAATACATGAATAAACGCTTAAACAACATTTTCTTGCTAAATAACAACGAATATACATACGCTAAATATACGAAAAACTTCCCGCTCAGATTGTTCGCTCATGGCGCTTCTCAAGCGAAAAACTGCCAAGGAATGACAAAATTATTAAAGCTTTCACTATTCACTTTCCTTTAATATACATTTTTGTTATTTTTGTTGCTTTTCAAAAAGTTACAAATCCACAAAATTCGAGCCGGTGACTTCACGCTTGCTGGTTCGACGCTCCGGCAGCAAAGCAATGCAGGCTCATGATGTCGCGTTGGCAATGCACAAGCTTTAAGCAGGCTCTGCCCGCTCTCAAAGCTCACTTTCGAGGAGAGATTGCATACGATTGCAGCTAAAACACGTTGCGAATTACAACGCGGCGACTTAACACACAGCTAAGCTTGCAGTGCAGACATTTGTTTGAATAACCAGAAACTAAGCATGGTCAGTATGTAGAATGTGTATTTAAGCTCCTCACTTACACACCCACGCCCACGCCCACGCCCACAACCACACACACACTCACACACACACACGCACAAGTATAGAAGTATATGTGTTAATATACATAGCTGTGTGAGAGGACACGCAATTATATTGTGTATGAAATGATATGAAATAAAAGTGCCGCCGCGGACAGCGGACAAAGTCAGCCAAAAACGAAGCTCTAGACAAATATTGAATATGATCAAATTTGATCCCAACGAACGTTGTCGGCTTATTTCTTAGCCGCATACTTGTACGGCTGTATTATGGAGTATTTGCGCACTGGTACCGTTTCGGGGGTGGGTATAATGTCGCCGGTGATCGACTTGTTGGCCAGAATCTGCTTGACCCCAATCTGCTTGGCCATCTGATAGTCGCCGGAATCGAAGAACTTGTGGCCCTTGTGCAGGCGCTTCTGCAGGAAGACGGAATGGCCGCTGGGCAAGCCGCTCGGATATTTGGGCATCAGCTTCTCCTCCTCAATCTTCTCCAGCTCCTCGGTACGGCTGGCGGCGTCCAGTGCATCCCTCGCCTGCGGCACGCCAGCCAGTCCGTGTTCCTGCTCCTCGATGGCGCTCATCCTGGCTGATTGGCTGATTGGCTCCAGCTGCGCGTCTTGTGTGAATGAGTATAAACGTTTTCAAATAGCGTTTATCAAAATTTACAATTTCTTTTATATAAAATATATATACATATATATGTGAAAGTACCTGTTTTTTTGTTTTGTGCTAGCTAAAAATGTTCTGAAATGTTTTCAGAGCTTTGGCCTTTTTCTATTTTCTCAGCTAGATTTTTGTTTGTGATTTGATAGCAATTCCAAGGTAAACTGAGCATGGCAACTTTTTGACAGGGCCGTAGTTTTTTTACGGGGTTTTCCTTTCGAAAGTTTGAAGGTTTTTTTTTTTTTTTTTTTTTGGATTGTCTTGGGTTTTATCTTAAACAATGCTATCGATTATTTTGCATGCAACCCAACAAGCTTCAAAATGGCCCCACTTTTGCAAGCTTGCCAAAAAAATATTCACAATTAGCTCGCTTTCTACTTTCCTTCTCATGTGAGCTGCGCATACCCCAAGCTGAAGCCTTGGTGCTAGGGTATCAGCAGCAAGCGTTGGACGCCGCCGCCGCCGCCGCAGCAGTGGGAAAGTAAATTTTATTTTAAAATAAATTTATCGCCTTATCCGTTGTCCACGGCAGCGACGGGACGCGCTGTGCCCCAGTCGCAGGACACGGGACACGGGACACAGGACACAGCGCACAGGAGGCAAAGTCAAGTCTTGCTTTATATACCCTGACCGCGGGTACGATGAAATTGTCACGACACGTGCCGACATCCATAAGGTCATAAGGCACATATATGTATGTATATTCTCGAACAATAAGCAAAGTCGGGTCTATATAGCCAGATCAGTTTCTAACTAGACTCTCAGTTGTGGAGAGAACTCATCAAGAAATTCTGCAAAGGTTCGTCTTTCCATTATAGCCAGAATTAGTCGGATCGTGCTACTAAGTATATCATATAGCTGCCATATAAATAATCGATCGTAAATTAAGCACTTGTCTGAGAATTTGTTTTGTCTTTTAAATATCTTTGCTCTCAATATATATATACATACGTATGTAGATCTTATAGATGTAGATATTATTACTATCCAAAACAGATAACTCAACATATAGCTGGCAAGAATCGGTGGAGATTTATGTTCTTTTTATTGGGTTATTGGAAAACCTTGCTCTTTTTTTTCAAAACTCAATCGAACTTGATTATTTTATAAATATATTTCATATCGGCCGAAACCATTTCGAAACGCAGCACTTCCGCGCCATAAGAGTATTTAATATTCGCCTTGCTTTTTTTGTTTGCTGATTTTGGTTGCAGCGACTGCCCCACAGCGCCAATTGCAGGGACAACAAAGCAGCCAGCGGCCATGCCAGGCACAACATGGCACAACACATGCGACGCGTCGCTGCCACACCCACACTGCCCAGCCCCGCCAGCACCGCCAGCCCCTCCCCTGGCGTACGCCCCTAAACAGCAGTAGCAAGAGGAGCAGCGGTAGCTGTGCCCCCAGCACACGAGCGCTTCATTTGAACGAAATGAAATCATAATGAGATTTTTGCTCGTTCGTTTTTTTGTCGCAGCCAGCACTGGCTAGGCGGCGTGGGTGTGGGCGTGGGCGTGGGCGTGGGCCGGGGTGGTATTTTTCACTAAGAGAGGCGGGGCAGCAGCAGCAGCAGCAGCATATTTATATATGTATATATATATAGATGGGCGCTGGGACTTTCAGTTGGTCCATTGCCATGGACTCGGCGTAATGACAAAAATTCATAATTGGATAAAGATGCGAACGTGTGCAGCGTGGGCTGTGTGTGTGTAGGTGTATAGGTGTGTGTGTGTGTTGTGTTTGTTTAGCTATTAAAAGTAGCCATAAAGCTAGCCGAAATCGAAGCGCTTTAAAGCTGCAGGCACAACACAAGCTGGCACGCACGCACACACTCTCTCTCTCTCTCTCTCTCTCTCTCTATCGCACACACACACACGCACGCACACACGCATATGTTGTGCGGCTCATTTGTCAGCTCGTTCGCTTGGATAATTGTCCTGCGATAAACAAAATTAGCAGCAATTTACGCGAAAATAGCTAAATGCCTGCGACAAAAGGACATCGACTGGCGACAGCGGCGACAAATGCCATCAGCGTCTAACTGACATCACCAACAACAACCCCCCCCCCCCCCCCACTCCCCCTGCACTCCCCCCTGCACCCTGCACCCTCATCCTCATCCTCACCCACCTACCCTAGAGCCGGGCTAGCAATTTATAGTTGTGTCAGGATATATTCATGTCTCTTGCCATGCATTGCCTGCTGTCGCACTCTCCCCCGCCCCCCTTCCCCCCCCGCCACCCGCCTCCTTTCAACATTAGTTATAGTTTTGATGAGTGGCATTAATGAGTCGTCTCTGTGTCTGCAACTGTCTAACAGCCTTCGCTCCACATACATACATATATATGTATATATGTATATATGTATATATATCGCATCCTTAGTGTCTTTCTGTGTCGCTTTTGTCTGTAACAATTGTTGAGTCGAGGGCTGGGCCTTGGCTGACATTAATGACACCCACACATGGCATCCAATTTGACAGGCAACATGGGCCAAATTAGTGAAAATCACAATCACAACTCGCTCCTTCGCTCAGTTCCCCCAACCCTCTCTCTCTCTCTCTCTCTCTCTCTCTGCTTACCATTAAAGTCATGCGGCATTTTTTACTTTTATTTTGTTTTTTATTTTGCACAAATACAAAAAATCACACAACTTGCCGCTCTGTGACTTGTGGCAGCTGCTGACCAAGCGGCTAGAGGGTGGCAGGGAAACGGGGGGGTGGGGGAGGGGGTGGCTGGGTTCTATCCATGCGCCGATAACTATCGACAGCAGCCGAAACAGGCAACAAGGCATGAGTTATTTATGGCTTTTAAGCGACAGCTACAGCTACAGCTGAAATCTTACTACTACTTACCCAAAAAAAGAAAAAAAATCAAAACAGAAAGAAAATCTGAAAAGTAACACAACAACAGTCCAGTGCAGCCAATTTGGCCTTTTTTACCTTAGAGATAAACGCTAAACAACTTTAAGCCAAAATCTGTTAGTAGACAAGGCTCGTATAGGCATACGAGCTATTTTATTCAACTTTAAATAAATAACTTTAAATAGTCCTAACAATCAGAAATTTTTTATAGATTTTTCATATTATATATATATATTTTTTTATATTATAATATGTATCATAATACGTATATACACATAATTGTGAGCTTACTTTTCCTAGCTTTATCCCAACTGCATTTTATACTGCTTATGATGCAGCTTAAAAAAAATTTATATTATTTTAGGGACAACAATTTTTGAACAAAATACTGCTTAACGCGAGTTTCAGATTGGGAGTTTTTCGTACAAAATATATAAATATATGTACCATATACAAAATTCCCTTAAAGCACATTTAAGCTTTTCGATTGCTTCAGTTTTCAAAAGCTAACCGTTTTTCTTAGCCGTTTTCTAGCTAACAACGATATGGCAGCACTGGCAGCACTGTCAGCGAACGCTGTGGGGGGCAACGGCACAAGTTTAGCAGGCCCGCAGGGTGTAGAACGCTCAACGGGCAGGGCTCTGAGCTCGGCTGGGCTGGGCAGGGCTGGGCTGGGGCGAGGGGCGAGGGGCCTGTCAACTCACATATGGAGATTTATTTGCAGCACATTCGACTGTTAAGCGCATTTGTAAGCATTTTTAATAGAGTCCGTTGTTATTGGCGGGTCATCGGTGGGTTAAGTGCTGCCTTCGTGTGCGTGTGCGTGTGTGCGTGTGTGTGTGTGTGTGTGAATCCACTCTCCCTGTCTGCCCCTCCCTCAACACTACGCATATCTAGCTGCCAATTGCCCTCGTTTGCCCTTCAACAAATTTGGCTGATTGTGATTTAAGACAGCGCTTGTAGCTGACATAATCGAAGTGCCAGAGATCAGCAATCGAATTAGAAGAAGAAGAAGAAGAAGAAGAAGAGGAGGAGGAAGAAGAACAATAAGTAGCCAAATATCAGCAGAAATACAAACAAATATATGTATATGTATATTTCAAGCTAACAGCCTTATCCGAGTTTGATTTATTTGACAGGAAATTGAAGAGGCGCAACTGTTAGTTAAAGCCAAAAGGAAATGGGCATTAATTGTGTTAGCAATAGTAGAAAAGTTCAATTTAAAACTTTTTAGGTAAAACTTTAAGGTAAAGTTAGCATTTTGTGGGTAACTAACAAGCGTTTTGATAGCTCTTGTATTACCTTATCAATATGACTTAGATCTTGATATGCATTATTTAAAAGCTTAAATACATTTTATTTCAAAGTGTTGCAATTGGCTGCGAAGGCTATTTATAGAGCGAGCAAAAGTTTAATAGCTTAATTTCAGCTTTAAACGGCGGCAGCTCCACACAACATTTGTCTGCGCGGCGGGTGGCAACGACAGCAGAGGGCGACGACAGCCACATTTGCATTCATATGTGTGTGTGTGTGCATGCAAAAACATCTGGCAACTCTGCTTAAGCAGACAACAGACAACAGACCGCAGAGTGCCAACTACATGCGTGCAATAAAAACGAAGCCAAAAGCAACGCCAACGCAAACAGAAACAAAAACAAAAACAAAAACTAGACAAGCAGCGCTGCCTGCTCCAAGTACATATATATGTATATATATTTGCCTGCGTATGTGTGTGTGTGTTTTTAGCTTAATTTTATTATAAAGCGCAGCGAGTGAGAGATGGGCAGGGGGCGATGCCCGAGAGGCGCGCAGTGGCAGCGCTGCTCCCGACGCTGATAAGCCGGCAACGTCTTGTGACTTTGACTTTAATGACTGGATTTATAGGTCCTTGGAGATAATCTCGGCCAGCGAGATAGACGCACACACACACACACACACGCACACACAGCAACAGCAGCAGCTCTGCCGGCGGCTGCTGCGACTGCTGCTATTTTGTTTACCAAAGCGTCAGGCACTGCTTGGACGAAATTTGGTGCGCGAATGTAGTTGTCTGTGTGTGTGTGGGTGGGGGGGTTAAGGGGGCTATAGCGCTAAGGACGTCGTCGTTGTTACAGGGTAATTAACATCAAAGCCCGACAAAGCTCATAAAAAGACGGCGAGATAAACATACGCACAAAGAGGTTGGAGGATGGCAGAGAGAGCAAGAGCGAGCGAGCGAGAGGGAGAGTCACACATGGGACATGGTACGTGGTGGACGTGCATAGTGAAAGAAACGGTAGTTGCGGCAAGTGGCGGCTGGGCGGGGGTCATCAACTTGCCTGCGTGGTGGCAACGTGAGCGGAGGCGACGAAACGCTCAACGTGAAATAATGTTGACAGCGCCAAAAAAAAAAACACACACACACACAAAAAGGATGCGCCGGCATACAGGAGACAGGCACTCACACATACGCAAACACTCATTGTCTGCCGTGTGTGTGTGTGCGTGTGTGTGTGTGTGTGCATTGTGCACGCACATGCTTGAAGCAATTAAAATCAGATAAGTTATAGAAAATGGCCTGTCGTCGACATTTAGACATGCCACTGTCATTGGAGTAGCTCCTCCCACCCCAGCCCCCCTTGCAGCCTGCCTCTCTGCATCCCATTGCTGTTAGCACTGTCGCGCTGTCTGTGACGTCTTCCGTTACGTTTGTCACGGCTGCCATTGTCTCTGCCGTGTCTGCCGTGTCTGCCGTGTCTGCCATGTTGCATGTGCCCCACCCAGCCCCGCCTACTCTGCCTGCGCTCCTGCCCACCGCTTTGCGTATGAATTTCAACGAGCAGCAAACGCGACGAGCCAAAGTGACAGCCAAACGAGCAGCAGCAGCAGCAGCAGCAACTGCCACTTGCCACACACGAACACACCCACACACACTAAACTACGCCCAGATAGGTGTGAAATATTTTTGGGCTCAAATGCTGCAGCAACAACAACCAGAACAATTCGGCGAGCAGCCAGCACAGGCATTCAACTGTTCATTTGTATGCCCTTTTGCCGACAGTCCCCAATCCGCCCCTGCCCCCAGCCACTTAGCCACGCCCACACACGCACACACGCACACATACACAGACTGCGCTCAGCCGCATCCGCGGCATCTTCAGCTGATGTATTCATGGCCTTGACGTTAACGGAGTGACAAAATTCGCACCCTTCGTTCAAGTGTAAATGGCAAAAACCCAGAAGAAAAAAATGTACACAAAAAAATGCAAATAACGGCAACTAGGCCGAAGCTTAAATGCCCTTAGGTATGTTTTTTCAAGCTGCCGTTAAATTTAACAGCCGCTTAAATATCTTGTCTAACCTGCTGTTAACCTGTTACCTGTTAAAGCAAAGCTTGCAGGTAAGTCAACACATATTTGATTGTGTAGCAGAACAGCGTTGCCACCTTGCTATGCGACACGTATGTAAAGAGAAACTAGCTTGTAGATCTGGCGTTGCCACACTTGTGTATATCGCCTATCTGGATACTTAAAGCACCTTTTAAAATAATTCCTAACAGCGTTGCCACCTTGCTATGCGACACGTATGTAAAGAGAAACTAGCTTGTAGATCTGGCGTTGCCACACTTGTGTATATCGCCTATCTGGATACTTAAATCACCTTTTAAAATAATTCCTAACAGCGTTGCCACCTTGCTATGCGACACGTATGTAATTAGAAACTAGCTTGTAGATCTAGCGTTGCCACAAATATTTTGTCAAAAGTACCTTTTAAAATATTTCCTACCCAACTGTTACATATTTGATTGTGCAGCAGAACAGTGCTGCCACCTTGCTAAGTCATGCGCTTAGGTCGTTACCATATCCATGCGCTTATCTAAAGTGTGAAATCAGATCCACGTTTTTCAGATACCTTAACGAGTGACTCACTTTGACAATTGGCAAACCTAGAAGATCCACAAGGAAATTTATCAATAAACTAATTACCATCCTATATCTCTTCGTTTTAAATGCACTCAACATAAATTGGGTCCTATATATATCGAATATATTTAGTTCAATTTAAGAAAATATTTTCTAAAAATTTATATATATTTTCTTTTTTTTTCTAAATAGGCAAAGCTGAATCAAAAAATATGTTCAGAAACTAAGAAATGTTAATAGTTTTTGTAAATTTTCTAAGAATAAGGTAAAACTTATTTGAGTGTAGGCTTGGATGTGTAACCATTTTTTTTTTTTGAGTGTAGCTTATTAGCTCGAAGGTCTAAACGTCGAATGAATTGGTTATGCTCTGGGTAAGGGCATTAAAATCACACACAGACACGTTGAAATATTCGCACGCCCCGTTACCACATTGTTGCTGCGTCTATGTGCGTGTGTGTGTGTGTGTGTGTTTGGGTGTGAATCGTCCCGTTGGACGCGGGCTGGTTGGCAGCAGCATTGTGCACTTAAGACATTCGGCGTGCTTAACGCGCGCGACATTTGGACAGCATGAAGGAGATATTTTGAATGCCAGTTCATAATTCTAAACACTCTTCACACAAGGGTTGGAGGGTTGGGGGTACAAGGACATTTAAGACACTTGTCTAACCACTTGGATTTGTTGCCTAGAACAACTTTTGCAGTTATTGAGTTCAAGTTTTGTTTGGCAATTCGAATTGGAGAAAGGCTTTTAACAGTGCCGAATTATTTCCTTAGGAGAATCAAAATATATTAAAGAGAAAAGTATCCAAGAGCTAGATCCAAAAATCGTACTAAAATAGACAAAAGCTCTACGAAATCTTAACTAGAAATATTTAATAAAATCAAAAATTTCAAATTATATTAAAGAGCATAGAGAAAAATATACCAAAAATCGTATTGTAAGCTCAAGAAAATCTTACCTAGAAATATTTCCGCGAAATACCAAAGTTTCCTTCTACTTGCCTTGTTTGATAATAATTGAACACGTTTTTGGACTAATAAAATTGATATTTTACTTGCATCTTAAGACTTGCTGTTCAGGATCAAAATATATTAAAATAAGTATATCCCAAAAAAAGGTTATCTCAAGAAAATCTAAGCCAGAAATATTTCCCCGAAATACTTAAGATTCCCTTTAGCCGCCTTGTCTGAAAATAACTGAACACATTTTGAACTTTTAAAATGTATAGTTTACTTGGGGATCAAAATTGAGTGTACACATTATAATGGACTCTTTTTGTGATAGCCATCAATGGGTTTCAATCGTGGGGCAGCTCGGAGGAGCATGTCTTGAATTGGGTTTACCTTCAGGAAGCCTTGAGTTCTAGAGCTGCACTTCGCATCACGTTTAACAAAACATTTTCGGGGACAAGCAAAGTTTTGAATTAACTTGCGTGTGGTCAATCCGGGCAATTGGGTGCGGCTATACGGCTAGGCCTTTGCGGCAGAGAACTAGAATTTGGGCTTAATTTATGAATCATTTACTACATACCTTATTCAACTTTGTGGCCTGCTATTGATGCCTGCCGTGTGGTTCCTCAATGAGCTCCAGGCTTGACTCGGACATTTCCAAGAAATCCTTGGCATCGAAATTGTGCTCCATGCTGAAGTGTTCCATGTCGCTTGGCGGCTCGCTGCACAACCTCAAGGCTGGCTTCTCAGCCAGCTTGGGTTCGATATTTAGAAGGGATTTCTGCTTGGCAACCATTGCCAGATCCGGACCATGGCTAACGATCAGGCGCGTTTCCGTTTTGGTCAGCTGTTCGGCAATAAAGCGCTATATATGGGTATTGGTATAGGGTTTAAATGGGACTCGACCAGGCTCTGGTTCTGGTCACGACTTGCTGCATACCCCGTTCAGGTCCAGACTGCCCTTGCTCTTCTTCAGCTCTCCGCTCGGAGCCTCGTGTGGCACATTCATCCTGAACCCAAGCTATATCAAGAAATTTGGTATACGCGAAAGGGCAAATTCTGAAGAAGAAATAAAATCTAAAATACAAGATAGAAAAAGAAAAAAAAAAGAAAATGTCAAGACAAATAATTTCAAATCCGAACGTACTAAAAACTGATATTTCTGTGCTGAGCCGAGGGGGGTGGGGCTAGCGCCCACTTGGATGCCTGAATATGTGTGTTCAATAGCTGCTTGCCGGAAGAGGGGGGAGGGTCTGCGTGGAGAGGGTGGCAACAAGCCACCCCTCCCCCAGCCCCAGCCCCAGCCCCCACTCAATTGGCCTTGCCCTTGCCCTTGCCCTTGCCCTTGCCCGGCAGCCCTGCGGCTGTGTCTTCTTTGTGGCTGCTCCTTGGGGCAATTGTGGGCACTTGATGCTTAGCGCCTTGTTGGGCAGCCAACAGGGCGTGGCCGCTGCTCAGCCTGCCAGCCATATGGCCCAAAAGCTGTTGTTGCTGCTGCTGCTTATTGTTGTTATTGTTGTTAATGCAAATGCCAGGCATTCGAATGCACTCGCGCGTGAGCAACCAGCCCCTCTCTGGCAAATGCACTTGACTTGAAAAGCCAAATGCAAATAAATATAAGGAATACATACACATATATATATATGTATATATATGTGCATATATATATATATGCTACTCACAATGGCATCCCGCTCCGCGCTTCTAGCTATCCACACAACGCACAAAAGCTAACTTTTCACTCATTGTTTGGCCAAGATCTTGGGCAACAAAAAATATGAAAATATTTTTTCAAGTCTGTTTTCATGTGCTCCATGCACGCGTGCGTGTGTGTGTGTGTGTGTGTGTGTGTGTATGTGTTGGGGGTAATGCGAGGAATAACTTTTTCATAGATACATTTTATATTAATACGATCAGAGCTATATCTCTTTAGAACTATTTCGAAGTTGTTTCAGACTCACAGTAAGGTTGGGTAACATTTTTTGCAAGTCACTCAAAGTCAAATTTTTTGACAAAAAATCAACTCTGAATAGATGTCCATCTTTTTGATGATTATTTTTGGAATATCTCGGCAAAATAATGTCCGATATTTTAATTATATACCCTTTTCGACTTTTACGGATCATGGCTATTGATTGGTATTATAAAATTCAAATTCTACATTTTTGACCAAATTCAACATCACGTTTTTTCTTTAAATCGGGTCCGTTCGAAAATTAAAACTTTTTTGATGTTTTTTTTTTGAATATCTCGGGCAAATAACGTCTGATTTTTAAATTTTATACCTTTTTGGATTTATACGGATCCCTACTATCAATTGCCATAAAAAAACTGAAAATCTATATTTTGAGCCAAATCGTCAAAATGGCAAGGCGTTACATCACATTTTTTCTCAAAATCCGGATCGGTTCGAGACTCCAAACTTATTTGCTTTTTTTTTTTGATTATCAAACTGATCAAACTCCCAATTATGGTTTCCGAGAATATGGCTATTCACATTTTAAAGGACATTAAATTGACCAGGGACCAACTTAGAATATGCAAAAAAAAAAGGACGAAAATCCTTCAAGGAGCTGAGCAAAAGAGATTTTTGTCTGAAGAGATATAAGGCTGTAGATCAGCCGTATCCTTTCCGATCATGATGTCAATTAGCCAACCGCTAGTCCTCATCCTCCCAACTCAGTATATATAATGAACAGGACGAAAGTCCTTTGGACTGCAGAGATATGAGTACAATTCTTTCGTAAATTAACAAAGCCCTAACTCGGCCGTATCCTTGCGGATCCTGACAAATCCTATGTCAAACGAATCGTATAAACAAGGACCATAGACTGTCCAAAGGACAACAAAATCGTCCTTGCCGTTTTCGATATATGGCTAATTTTCTAAAAAGGACATTTTTTAACTAGCCATAACTCGGCCAAATCCATAAGGATATCGGAAGGATATACATTTTTAAACTCGCGATGAGCAGGACTATCGACTGGCATTCAAGGATTTCCATGATTCGACAAAAAAATTTCATCGAAATTTTTCCTAGGGGGTTACTCGCAAAATTGGCTAAAACCGAAAAATTCGGGGCTATCTTTGCCATTTGGGGGACTATCTGGATGTCCTTTGGCCAGCAGATAGCTCTCATCCTCCCATTTCAAAATTGACAACTCAAAGGACGAAAGTCCCGCAGACAAACAAATTTTTAGGACAATTTTGTATACTAAAACAAGGCCATAGCTCGGCCCAATCCTTGCGTATCCTTGCGATTCATGTGTCAAAAGAATTGTATTAACCAGGACTACCAACTGGCCAAATTTCATTAAGATCGTCCTTGTAGTTTAGAATATATTTAAGGAAATGTGTTTTCAGCCCATTTCCGTGCGCTCCGCGACTGAAATTTTACAAGTCAAAATACAAGTCCTGGGATTCTTAGATGACCCCATATTTTTATGATGCAGATCTATGCAGGGGTTCTATACCATCCTTACGCACTATGACCTTTGAAAATCTGCAAGGACATGGCCGAGTTATGGCCTTTTTCCTTTTCATAAAATGCAATTCATATATTTTTTGCCTTGTTTATTTAATTTAAATGTGTTTTTATCTTTTCAGACTAAGATTCAGATTAAGGACTACAATGAGCTCTAAGGACCTTCTCGAGCGACAAAGCAGATTTTTCCAGGATCGGACTTTAATTAACTATATCTGATAGTTATTTTAAGTTTAAATTAGCTAAAATTTTAATTTATGCTCGATTTGTATAATTTTAAGAGCAATAATTCAGAAGAAACAACAATTTTCTAAATTTAAACATAAATAAATCAACTATTCAAAATAAACAATGAAATCCTGTTTTTTTTTATGTAAAAATTCAAAAATCAACGGTCTTTAGAAACCTATTGCATACCCGCTAGGAGCGTTTGTTGGCAACCGCTGGCTGCCGAGATTTTTCTTAAAATCTGCCAAAATACCAGGCAAACCAGGCCCAGAAAGGTTGATAAAAACTATTTTTAGCTACCGAAAAATATCATTGCATATCCGAATGGGGCACCCTCGTCACCGGCTGGGTGGGTGCCAAATTTTTACTAAAATTTCCCATAAATACCAGGCGAACAGAAATGCCCAGAAGGTCGACAATTAATATTTTTGCAGCCGAAAAGTGACGTAGTAAAAAGGGGCACCCTCGTCGCCGGCCCCAAATTTGCCCAAAATTCCGCTCAAGTACCAGGCGAACAGAAATGCCCAGAAGGTCGACGAGTTCAATAATAAATATTGTCATTGCAATGTAACTCAATTAAAATGAGTACTGTTAAGTAACAGATTATGTAAAATGAGTGCTGTACGGCGACTGTTAAACAACAGCTGCAGCTGCAGCTAACGTAAAAGGGCTCCTGAAAGAAAAAGCATACATGTTTTTGGACCATTTGTGATCCTTTAGGTTTCCAAGGACTATATCCATGGTATGGTATATAACCAAGGATATGCTAGTCAACTAGAAACCATACAGACGGAGCTGTTGATGGGGGCGGCCTTAAAAAGGAGCATACATATTTTTGGACCATGTTCTTGCGCATTTAGCTAGAACTCGGTCCTTTAGGTTCGCTAGGACTATATCCATGATATGGAATAACCAAGGATATAAAGCTCAACTAGGTACCATGAATTGGGATCATTTGCTGATTATATGTTGTCCATGGGCATGGCAGACTTGGCTGAAAAATACAAAAAGACAAATTATATCAGTTATATTAGGTCTGATTTTGGAAATCGACAAATCACTACAAATTTTAATATTTTAGAACCGCGCGGATGTGTGACGTTAGAAAACAAAATAATTCCGCCATTGACCTGCGCGAAATGATGTCGTTTTATAACTCCGCTCGGGTAAATAATTTCAGATTATGTTATACCTTTTCGATCTCGTGTATATGCAGAGATAATAGACAAAAATGTATATGCATATGTGTATATGACTGCTGGTGCAGGCTGCCAATAGCTCAAATCAAGACATGTCCATTTTCTGTACACCGATTTCTGTATAAAAATATTAAAATATTGTATTACATATTAAATGAATAAATAGTTTTAGTCTTTCCGTGTTGAAAATGGTATATGTTTAAAAATAGGACAATACTTGCCCTTACTAGCATAAAATTGAATCAATAGACTTTCACTCGCAGCATAACAACATGCCATATTGACAAATGGGACCACACTAACTCAGTATAAAGAGCAGAAGAGAAGATCACTGCCAGCAGCTATTAATTGGACCAATCAGCGATCAGCACCAACAAGAATCGTGAGAGCGTGAGCGTAAGTAGCAAAATGACAGCGAACACACACACGAACAGACGACTGCTTATCTCTGGCTGTGGCTCATCTCTGCGCATACACGTGTTTGTTGGTGTGTGTGTGTGTGTGTGTGTGTATGCTAAGCAATGCGGCGCATCGTTCTCACTCGAATTTTGATCGCTCGCTTATTTTCTGTGCGCCGGTTTTTTCGTCAGCTTAAGTCACTCAGGATTTAACACTCTGTTAGCTTGAGCTCAGTATTCAATATGAAAACTGTTTTTATTAGAAGGGGGACTCTGAAAGGGTATTATGCATATTTGATTTAGCTCATTTAATAGCTGATTTCTTAAGAATTGGATTAAACAAAATAGGAGAACTTTACTCCCAATTATCAGACGCACAATTGCAGCAGCTATCAATGATTTTTTATTTTCACAACTAAAAGGCGAAAAACTAAACAAGACTTAACGTTACAGTCCGAAAACATATATCATTAAAGATACAGGCGGCATTATCTTGAGAATTTCCACTTATAATAATTTTACAGAAAACAGAAATATTAGCTCAGAAAACTAATTTAGGAATGTTATACCTTTTTTGATTCGTACGGATCCCTTCTAACGATCTGCATTCAAAGTAGTAAAAATCCAGGGGTTAAATCAAAGTTTTTGCCAAAAAACGATTAGTCCAACTTTTATGATGATTTTATTATCTCGGCTAAATAATGTGCGATTTTGGAATAATACAAGTCTCGGATAAATTTCGTCTGATTTTAAAATGTTATACCTTTTTGGATTCGTACGGATCCCTACTATCAACTGGCA